CTGATTTGGGATCTCGTGTGCATCTCTCATTTTGTATGTGCTGTTTACTTCTACCCCCATCTTCCAAGTCAGTCTAAAGGAGAACATGTTCTTATTCTCTCTCGCTCAAACACTGCTCCTCCCCTTTTCTTCTTTTAACTGTCAGAGGTCCTGTGTCTTTTGCAGCCATTCCTCTAGTCACAGCTTTCATAGTTGTTCAGTGACACTAGTTCAGAAGACAGAAGGATCTTTAGAGAGCTAGCCAGGGTGCAAAAGGAATCAAGCTTGGGTTCCAAATTTCTGTCACCAGATTTCTGAACTGACCCAATCTTACCTGGAATGTGTTTAGAAACATACTGTAGTCAGCTAGGGGCCATATTTCAACTGCAGCACCATGTTGGAAAGGAGAGAGAAAGATGAGACCCACCTGAGACTATACACTTCCCCATCACTGCTTCTGGACCCAGAACCGTGCATGGGACATTAAGCCCCATACAACCTAACCCTGCTCTCGACCATGTAGGCTCAGGAAAGGAAAGAAAACTCCAGGGTGTAGGCAGCCAGAAACACGCTAGCAAGAGCTGCTACCAAAGCAGTTTCAGTAGGAACCTTTGGATACGGATTATGTCAGACCGCTTTCTATAGACTTTATTCTGAAAAGATTTCCCTGCCAACAATAGGCTGCTGCTTCCAACCTCTTCCCACTCACTCCCTCACAGTCTCTTCAGTTCAGCCTCACTCCAACTGCCCTTCATGCTCCTCTCTATCCATCCCACCTATCCCCCATACCTCTTCCCCCACCATTCTTTTTCCCTGTGTTTTTCCTTTTCGCTAATCCCTTCGTGCCTTTCGTCACCCACCCATGCCCTATAATACACAGATATAAACATACATGTAAGATTACATAAAAAATACTAAAGTAAAAGAGTGTTAAGATTTCAAAGCTAAACACGCAAAAATTAGGAAGTGCCAAAATTTAGTTATCCATGCAACCTTAATTTGCTTCCCAGCAACCTTGGGAAGCATCACAGTGCAATATTCTACTTAAAAAAAAAAAAAAAGCCCTGAAAAAAACCTAATTCCATCACATGATTCATCAGCAGGGTTGGAACCTTTAGATCCACTGCACAGACCTTTGTCCCTTGGCCTAACAGAGTAACTCAGAGCAGTTGTAGACTATTATCCTTTATTTGGACCAGCACAGGAGGAGAGCACTTTGCCAGTGGGTTTCACAGATATTTGCTGGTAGCAGAGGAATGGTGGGACAGAGGAATCTTGGGTTCCCTACCAGACTGTTGAGGGAAGCATGGTTTAGGAGCAACCAAACCATCTGTCCCAGCCTTCCCCTGTCCCCTTTTGTCTGTGTTCCCTACAATATTCCCTCTTTCCCGCCCCCACCACACACACACATACACAAAGCCTGTCCCCTTCTGTCTCTGTTCCCACTGCTCCTAACACTTTTTTTCGCTCCATTGATCCACATGGCTATTTTTTTTATTGGGGAAGAGGGGTGATACCAGTCAGTTGGGTGTTTTGGGGGAACTAGGGCACAGTATCTAGCCTGTCTGACTGATGAAAGACACACACCACCACCCTCAGTGTCTGCTTGAACCAAAACCGATCAGAGAAAAGGCTTGTAGAAAGCAGTGAAGGGCGTTGGTAGACACACCTAGACCCCTCCTCACAAGGGTGAGGAGATTAAGACATCTCTATTAGCATACAGAATGAAGAACAGAGACAACTCCCCTCGCCTCATCTGCATGAAAGATGGGACAGGGAGACATCCCCATTTGCATTCAGAATGGTGAACAGAACTGCACTGAACTCTGGGACCAGAAAAGCCGGGAAGCATTGCATCATGGGGGATCTCTGCTCCAGATGTTAATGAACCTATGTCTGCACACACCCAGCTCAGCAATTATCAAACCAATTCTACTAATAAATCCTTGATTGATACCCAAAATACTGAAGCAGCCTAGCTGCACTGTGGGCTCCCTGGAAGAACACCACCCATGGCCAAGAGTGATTAGCTCCTATTGTCTAGCCTAAAGAAAACCCAAGAGTCATCAGTTTACCTATAAACAAATCTAGTGTTCTCCATTGTATTTTCTCTACAAAAATCCCTACTCACCCACCAGTCAGTGCTCTGATGCATGAACCCAAACACAGCATCCGTTCCACTGGGACTCCAATCTCCTCACTGATCGTGCTGGGGGCTCTGCCTGTCTCCTGCACTCAGGACCCTGAGCTACCACCATCACCTGACCAGTTCATGCTTCAGGGAGTGGTGAGATCCTTTTCTTTCATAGAATCATAGAATATCAGGGTTGGAAGGGACCTCAGGAGGTCATCTAGTCCAACCCCCTGCTCAAAGCAGGGCCAGTCCCCAATTTCTGCCCCAGATCCCTAAGTGACCCCCTCAAGGACTGAACTCACAACCCTGGGTTTAGCAGGCCAATGCTCAAACCATTGAGCTATCCCTCCCCCCTTGATCTCTTGCTCTCTGTTTTCCTTTCTACCTCAGGTATTAACCTTTAATAATATATGTTATGTTGGTTTAGCTCTCCTTGTATAGTTATCCCTATTATTCAATAAATAACTTTTATGGTTAAGCTGGTTGCTTTTCTCTCTCGCTGAACTTTACTCTTTTGTGGTTTTAGCTTCCCTCATTTACTCTGCAGCAATGCTTCTTTTACCTAAGCTAAAGATTCCTATAGCACCCAAAAATACTGTGGGGTTTGCTCATCAAGTGGGTTACTACTAGTACAATTGTGATGTGAAAGTGGGGATAGGGACATGTTAAACCTGTGGCATATAAAGGGGGGGGCAGCTGAAAGTGCTGTTTGACCCAGCCTATTGAGACCAGGGGCACATAAGGGTGACAGCTTGACAGTGCTGCTTGACCCAGCCCATTGAGTACAGGGACATATAGGGGGGTTGGCTTGAGAGTGCTGATTGACCTGGTCTGCTCAGACTTGCTCTGTTAATGTGTGTGTGTGTTCATCTGGTTCTAGGGCTGGAGGAGCCCAGTCCTGATGAACCTAGGTCCTGCAGTATAGCTCCATTGGGAGGAGACTTGCAGAAGGAAAGAGTGGAGCTCCATATGAACACACAAGTGACATAAGCAGTACATTAATGGAATTACAGACACCCTCTTCCCCCAGAAGAGTAACCCTAATAAATGAGCATATGCCAAAGTAAGGGGCACATCTGGTAACAGAGGGAGAGCACCAAAAGGGTTTTTCCCCTCTCATGGCAAAACACTGAGGGGCTGGCCCTGGCTTCTATCCACCCCCACAGCCAGTTTTCACCACCCCAACTCTGTTCTTCACCACTCAGCATCTGAGTTAGGGTACTCCCTTCTCCTCAATACTAGCTGGGTGCCAGTAGGACAGTGGTTCCCAAACTGTGGGGTACATCCCCCCCCCCGAAGTGGCACAGAGGAACATCCAGGGTGGGGGATTGAGGTGGACCTGGGCCAGCTCCCCAGGAGGTGGGGAGGGAGTGCCACCCAGCCCTGCTCTGGCCCGAGGCTCAGTCCCAGCCACGGCTCCCCTCCTGGTCTTGGCTCCCAGCTGTGGCCCTGGCTTAGGGTTGCCAGGTGTCTGGTTTTCGACCAGAAGGGACAGGGCAGTGACCGGTCAACATTGCTGACCAGACACTAAAAGCCCATTTACCCACAGTAACTGGCCTCCGCCATCAGGGGAGGGAGCGGGAAGAGCTGCAGGAGCCTGGAGACGCCTCCGGCAAGAGATCTACCAGCAGCACCCCCTCCCCCAGAGCACAGCTCCCTCTCCCTGACCAGACTCATTCCCCCACCTGGCTGCGGGGGTGAGGGGACGCAGACCGGGGATGGGGAAAGACACCATTGAAAAAAATTTGGGGACCATGGTAGAAGGAGGTGAACTGAGAGCACAGGAGAGACACACCTCAGCTCTCAGTTTTTATATCTGGTGCCACAACAGCCCCTGGTGGCTAGGAGCAGCAATTGCAGGTAAAGTCCTCAGCCTAGGCCTGGAGCACGTTCAGTGTGGATGGAATTTAAATTGTCAGTCTCCATCTCTCTACTGAGCATGTACAAATGGCAATTTTCAGAGGCTTACAACTCAGCGAAAGGTGGGTGGATTTTCATGGGAACAGCAACAGGCACATCCCTGACACTAGGGTCACGCCCTGCCAAATATGAAATCACTGCTAAAAGCATGGAGGTGCTTGAGCTTCTCGAAAAAATAGGAGAATGTAAAATTTTTTTTTTTTTCTTTTTTTTTTTTTTTAACGCTTGCAAAACAATGTACTTTTCCCTAATCTGATTCTTGGAAGCACCTTCATTGCTATTGCTGAAACTTTCCAAAGAAATTTATCTTGGGGCTGACAGCTAGCATGGAAAATATCAGGCCAAACAGTTAAAGTCTGGTAAAGTTATACACAACCAAAAACAGTGTCTTAGGCAACCTTAACTGTAGAGTGTGCGCCTCCAGCTCTGCCTATAATAAAATGTGAAAAACAACCTCCTCTCCCATCTCCCCTCCCCCCCAAAAAATATTTTTATAAAATTAATAGAATTCACATGACATTTGCAAGCCATTACAATTCACTCTGATTGTATATTGTCTCTTTCCCCAGTTATGGATCTGTCTTGTCTTAGACTGACTGTAAGCTCTTCATCACATGGACAGCCTCTTATTCTAAGTTTGTTCCTAGGACAATGGGGACCAAATCCTGTTAGGGAATTTAGCTGTGACACAAGGCATTTACCTGTATTCACACAACTTGGCACAGAACCACAACTCAAGCTTAGCATCATTAATACTGATAAGAGTTTAAATAATTTTAATTAGTAATTAAGAGGGTAACTAAACATCTCTGTATGTTTGGTTTTCTTGAAATCTTATAAAGCATTTTAAAGTACTGTGTGTGGTATGTGCCAGGCATCATTAGCCATTATAATTCAGCCTCCATGCATTAAAGTGTTATAATCAAGGGGTTTCTTAATTACTTTATGATATTTTTGTTTACTCAAGGTCTACAAGCTTAGCTGCTTATACTGTTCTTATTGTAGAGCAGATCCTTTCAGGATAAGATCGTACTACAGGAATAACACAGGTAAGTATATTAAATTCTGGCACCATCTGCTTCCAGTGATTTCACTATCAGCTGTTGTATTTCCATTACAATCTGAGCAATATTGTGTAATGACTACAGTAAGCAGCAGTCACCTCCAAGCAGATGTGTAAGCATGTTTTAAACCTATTTGCAACAGGTGCCCACAAAACACAAAATGTGGCTATAAGAAGTTACAGACTTGCAACCATCCACATCAAAATGTTAGAAAGATGTGGCTTCAAAGGCAGGTATCACTGGGTACAAATTAAAAATATACCGTATATACTCGTTCATAAGCCGAATATTTTTGGTAAAAAAGTGAAGCATCAAAGAGCGGGGGTCGGCTTATAAATGGGTCTACACCAAAATCTGATGATTTTAAACTCTATGAAATCACTGAATTGAATATCTAATACATTGTTGTTTTGTTTACCTGGAGCATCTGCAGGCATGGAGCCCCTCAGTTTCCTGTGGCTGCGGTTTGCTGTTCCCAGCCAATGGGAGCTGCGAGAAATAGCACCATTTCCCGCAGCTCCCATTGGCTGGGAATGGCAAACTGCAGCCACTGGGAGCTGAGGGGCTCCGTGCCTGCGAATGCTCCAGGTTAACAAAATGTCCTTACCCACCAGCGGCTTACCCTGACGGGCCGGGAGCCGAAGCTTGCCAACCCCTGAAATATAGGGTCGGCTTATGAAAGGGTCATACAGTTTCTACCATTTTTACTTATCCATCTTGGAGGGGTCAGCTTATAAACAAACTGGCTTATGATCGAGTATATATGGTATATGTGGTTTGGTACCTACAGAGTCTCAAGTTATCTTGTTAAGTAGAAGAGTGGGGACAGTTTAGCAGAAAGATGGGATCAATCACCTTAAAAATGAGAATATATAGCTGGCTTGAATAACTCTCTGCCTTGACTAGCTGTCATTTAGATTCCAGGTACTCAGAAACATTCTGCAGAGTGAAATCTACACAAGGCAGAAATGGGTTGCTGCTAAATAGCCTAAAACAGAGAATAGAAGAAATATTAAACCCCTTTCCTTTAGAAGGGGTTTTTCACTTAGTTTATACCATACCATTTGTCAAGAAATTTGATAGACTTTCCCATTAAATTTGTAATCACAGAAACTTCATTTCCTGATGTGAATTATTCAGGCAAAATGCAGTAGCCGTACTGCAGTAGCTTCTAATCTTCCTACCGAGAGCCATTGGGGCTCCAAGTAATGGGACAAACCGCAGAGATACTCACCAAATGCAATCAGCACCAGTGTGTAAGTAGTCAATGTATGGAAGGTGATTTTGGTCTCGAGACCAGCATGAGGTAGAAAAGACCATGCCAATACTTAGCCAAGGAATTGTCACTCCTAAAATACAGGAATTAAAAATAAACTTTAATGGATTAGAATGTCAATTAAAAATAAATAAAAGACAGTTTTGGAGCGCATTTCAGCTGAAAAGCCTGCTTCTCCATTGAGTTGACTCAGGAGTTTTAAATGAAATGGTCACTAACATTACAGTAACTGTGGTTCTTTGAGATATGTTGTCCATATAGAGTCTACTCTTGGTGCGCATGCATCCAATGCACTTGAGTCTGAATTATCCTGGCCAGCAGTGTTTGTTGGGGCCATGCCTGCACCCTGAATGTCTTTGTGCCTCCCACCAAGGTCAGCCCTACCCACCCCTCAGTTCCTTCATCAATACAGGATCCAGATATTATCAGACTTTGTAGTAGCAGGAAACAAGGACAGGTTGTGAAATTATATATGGAGAACATCTCAAAGAAGCAGTTACTATAAGTAAGCCAACCGCTTTTCCATATATATTGCACTGTTGATAACTCACAAAAAGTGATCTAGATCCGTGGAGATGGGTGCTGCAGTCTACCTAAAAAATGAGTGTATGATAGCCAAAATTCTCACTTCCATGATAGATTAATGCCGGGTAAATGTACACACTGAACTCCCAAACAGCTGCCCTACAAACGTCTAGGATGGGAATGTTTCTCAAAGAAGCAACTGAGGTTGCTTGCATTCTACTTGAGTGACCTGTGACCTTCCTTGATAGAGCTATATTTACCAGTCTATAGAAGTTTGTATCAAAGTCTTTGTTTGAAATAGCTTGTCCTTTAATCCTCTCTCCACAGATTATGAAAAATCAAGGGAATACCCTAAATGGCTTAGTTCTGTCTATAGAGAATTAAAACTCCCTTCGGACATCTAGAGTGTGGAACTTCGCCTCACTTTATTTCAATAGGTTTCAGAGTGGTAGCCATGTTAGTCTGTATCAGCAAAAATAACGATTAGTCCTTGTGGCACCTTAGAGACTAATAAATTTATCTGGACATAAGCTTTCGTGGGCTAGAACCCACTTCATCAGATGCATGGAGTGAAAATACAGGAGCAGGTACGCTTAGTAAAGCAACCTCCATCCTTTCATGTATTAATACCTGCTCCTGTATTTTCACTCCATGCATCTGATGAAGTGGGTTCCAGCCCATGAAAGCTTATGCCCAAATAAATTTGTTAGTCTCTATGGTGCCACGAGGATTCCTCGTTATTTTTGCTTTATTTTAATGTATTTTGGAGAGAGAAAAATAGAGGCAGGAGAATAACGTGATTTAAATGAAAGGCAGATAGATATGGGGGCCCTGACATCAATGCCTGTATCTCCCCCTCTCTTCTGGCTGATGTTATCACTACCAGGAAGGCTGGTTTTATGGAAAGATGAAAAAGAACTTGTGTTGAAAGGTCCAAGAGGTGGGCCTATTAACCCTCTGAGAACAATCAGATCCCAAGAAGGGGGGGGTTCTCTAACTTTCATAAGAATCTGGCCACTGTGGGGTGTGAGAATGTGGAAGCCACTTGCAATGGACAGTGGAGAGCTGAGATGGTTGCTAGATGACCCCTTAACAAGTTCACAGATAGTCCAGAGTTCTTTAAATTCAGGAGATAAATTCCAGTCTGTCTAGAATCTTTGCTTGAGATGGTGATAACTGGTGGTGTTATGACCAGATCATGAATCTCTTCAATTTAGCAGCATAAGTATGTCTGGTAGAGTCTTTTCTGCTGTGGACAGGGACACTTTGTATTGCAGATGAGCAGCTTATTTCTACTGAAGTCAGTCAGCCAGTATTTATGCTGTGAAGTGTAGGGAATATGGGATGATGGACTTGGCTGTGCCTCTATATTATGACCTCTGGTTGGAGAGCTATGTGTATTGATGGTTGAATGGAGAGATTCTTCAGGCCTGATACCAGAACTGTCTAGGTCATGCTGGAGCTACCATGATCATTATGGCAGAGTCCCATCTGAGCTTCCTGAAAGCACTGGGGATGAACAGAATTGGAGGGTAAGCGCATAGGAGACCTGATGACCGTGAAATTAGAGATGCATCAGGCAATGACCCCTGACTTAGTCACCGTCCAAACCAGAAATTTTGACATTTCCTTTTTGCTCTTTTGGCAAAGAGGTGTATGCTGGAATGACGACAACATAAGACCTCTCTCTCAAGTGTAATCTATCAACCTGTAACGGGTGTCTGAAAACTGCTCACTAAGGTGATCTGCCAGCACATTCTGTATTCCTGGGAGAGGAACAGCCTTCAGAGTAATTTCATGATGGATACAAAAGTTCCAAAGATGTACACCCTCTTAACATGAAGGAGTAGACCTTATGCCCCAATGCTTGTTTACATAAAATGGCTATTAACTCCAGGACATTTGTGTGGAGACTTGCTTCCTGAGGAGTCCATGTGGCTTGTGTTTGTGATCGTCTAAATGGGCTTTCCATGCTAAAGTAAAGGAATCTGTCACCAATGTTTTTGATGGTAGTGAAGGGGAGAATGGTTGTCCCATTGCAGACTTTGAAGGGCCCCTTCCACCAATTTAATGACAGGACTTCTGGTGGAACATGTATTAGGATGGACAGGTAATGTTAGCTTAGCTGATACATAATACAGATCTCAAACACCCTTGCATGCAACAGAAGTCTGGCAGGCTGAATTACAAAGTTGCAAGGGCCATGTGTCCCAGCAGTCAAAAAAGTTCTCACTGATATCCTGTGGTAAACATGAAGGTCGACAGGTAGGTCTAATATGACTTGGACTCTCTGGTGGTAGACAAGCCATCACCGTTAGGGAGACCAGCATGACTGCAATAAATTCTATTTTTTATGTTGGAGTCCGTATTGACTTCTTTTTGTTTACTTTAAGGCCTAGAGAGGCGAACAGTTGCAGAGTCTGTTAAATGAAGTCTATTACTTGCTGGCGCACCTTCTCATGAATGAGCTAGTCATCAAAATATGGGAAACTTGGACTACCTGTCTCCTGAGGTAAGTGGCCACCACCAGCAACCATTTTATGAATACCCTTCATGCTGTTGGTAGGCTGAATGGTGATGACCTTTGCTACTAGTGGCAATTGCCCACGTGAAACCTGAGATATCTTCTGTGGGCAGGTGGGATAGCTATATGAAAGTAAGCGTCCGGGAAGTCGAGAGCTATGTACCGGTTATTCTGATCTAAGCATGGAATTACAGAGGCCAGAGTCACCATCCTGAACTTGAGCTTGCAGATGAAGGTGTTCAACTGTCTGAGGTTCAGAATGGGTTGCCCACTGCCTTTCTTTTTGGGAATCAGACAATAATGAGAGTAAAATCCCTTTCCCTTGTGTTCTTGATGAATTTCTTCCATTGCTCCAAGACTGAGAAGTGACTGCACCTTCTGATATAGCACGCTTTCAATGAGAGGGGTCCCTGAATAGGGATGAGAAAGGTGGGTTGGGGAGGGTCTGGAACTGGATGGAATAACATTTCAGTTTCCAAGACTCCAGCGGTCGATTTTGCTGGTGCTCCAGGACCCATTCATGAAATAAATTATTCCCAAATGAAGGGGATATAATTGGAAGAGCCAAAGGGGTTTGCTTTAGATCAAGAAGTCAAATCTTCTGCCTTCATGTCGACTGAGGTTGATCAGCAGAGAGGGTGATGTGGATCCTGATGACTTCCTTCTGGGAAATTTCAGACATTTCCTAGGTGTTTCCAGGCTGCCTGTATTAAGGGTAAAAGGATTGCCTCTATCATGGTTAGCATTAAAATCTCAGTGTGGCATACGAGGCCTTTAGGTCATCTGTTTTCACACTAACAAGTTCAAATTCCTCAAAGGGGAGATCCTCAACTGTTATTTGAGCTTCTTTAAGGATCCCTGAATTGTGGCGCCAGGAGAATCTCCTTATAGCAATTGAGGTGGCTATAATCTAGAGCAGCAGTTCTCAACCAGGGGTCCACGAGCCCTTTCGGGGGGCTGCGGAGCCCCACCACTGAAACCCAGTGCCCCCCATGGGGCTGAAGAGGGGAGCACCACAGGGCTGAAGCCCAGAGTTCCAACACCCCCCGTGGGGCTGAAGCCAGGAACAGCGCAGGGCTGAAACCCCGAGCCCTCTAACGTCCCCTGCAGCCGGGAGTGGCGTGGGGCTGAAGGCATGAGCCCCAGCCCCCCTCGTGGGGCCGAAGCCGGGAGCAGTGCAGGGCTGAAACCCCAAACCCCACAACTCTCCTGCAGCCAGGAGCAGTGTGGGGCTGAAACTCCGAGCTCCTCCATCCCCCTGAAGCCAGGAGTGGCAGGGCTGAAGCCCCGCTGCCATGGACAGAAATTTTGAGCCGATGGGCGGAGTTGAGGGGCACAAGAGTGTTGTCCCCCAAGCTGCAGTGCCTGAACCAGAGTGGGGTAGTCCTGGGGGCAGCTCCACCCTCCCAGCCCCCAACCTCCTCCTCTCCCTCATGCCCCACCCTCTGGCCAGATCCGAGGCAGGAAGACAGAGCCAGGCAATGAGGGGCAACTGCTCCTCTGACTGATGGTGCCATGGAGTGGGCAGCCACGGCATTTCCCCATCTGCTGCTGGTGCCTGGGGTTGCGTCTGCTCCTCAGCTCCCAGCCTCCTTTGACTGCTCATGCAGCCAGTCAGAGCTGCCCAGGCAGCTCCGGACCCAGCAGATCCCTCGGGCAGTAGCTACCGGCACACAGCCCCGAACAGGTGAGTGGCCTGATAAGGTGAGTCAGGGGGCTGGAGGTGGCACTCCCTCCCTGGACCCTGCTGGGCAGAGATGGCCCAAGCCCTGCTGGCCCTTCCCCACCATCCCCCAAATAGAAGTCAAACTACGCCTATGCCCCAGGGTCCCACCTCTGGTCCGGATGGCCCCCTGCTGGGCCCCAGAGTTTTTCTAGCATGTTGAGGGGGGCCTCAGAAAGAAAAAGGTTCAGAACCCCTGCTCTAGAGGCTGTATCTGCAGCATGCAGGGCTGCCTGTAGGGATATACATGCCATGAGCTGACTCTCAACTATGATAATACGTGGTCTTGGGGAAACTTGTCTATAAATTTGGTCATAGAATCCCAACAAGGCTTTGGGGGGATGATGATGATGATGATTCTCATTTGGAGGCTAAATGTTGAAGAATTCTTTTCTTCAAATACATCTAATTTTTTGGGTTACCGGTCATTGGTGTTGATTTTTGCTGATTCCCGAGACCTTTTGTAACCGCTAATGAACCCAATGTAGGATTTGTCAAAAATTGTTCAAGTCCCTGGACGGGAACTTAGTAGCAATGGTCTGCTCTCTTCAGTGTTGGTCGTGGAATGTCTTGTAGACATCTGGGGTGGAAGCTAATCACTCAGTAACTTCCACCTCATCCAGTGATGATGAGGATGTATGGACTAGGGCAGGATGGTCTTCTGTCTGGGTCTCCTCATCTGAGCCTTGACCAGTCTGTTCTGCAGGCAGTGGAGCAGTTGGTCTAGTTGTAATGCCCCATGTTGACGCAGGCCTTTTAGCATGATGCATTTCCCTTGGAGCCTTATAAGGCCAACAGTGCTGGTAGGCAAAAGTGGCAGATAATCAAGGGATAGGGTATCAAAGAATAATATCCCTTCTTGAACTTCTGTGTCTGTGGTAATAGGAAGCAACCCATGACATTCTCTCAGATGTGAACTATCCTGAATACCTAGAAAAGGAACAACCTCGTGAAACCTCCCCTAGTGGTTTCAGAGTAGGAAAATGCAGCATATTCCTCCAGAACAGGAGCTGTACTAATTGGTGTGCTGGAAGCCCCCATGGAACGTGCTTTGGCTGGTACTGTAGATGTATGCAGTACCAGTGTCAGGACAGCTGTTGGTTCTTGGAGGAGGCACCTTCCCCACCACTAGTAGTGGGGAATTTGGTGTCAAGGAGACCAACACGTCTTTAGATGCTGTATTGGATTTTGGTAGTGCATATGTTAGCACTGAAGTCAAATTAAGTAGACTGCATTGGAACCAGGAGCCTTGATGCTGAGGAGTCAGAACCAGGCATTTATGCAGTACGACAAAAGACAGTCCTGGGGCATGAAGACTTGTGCCTGAATGGGTGCCAGTGGGACCGTTTTGGGGCCTGTGTCACCCTTGACCTCTGAGACTAGAAACAATTTGAGGCTCTTAATGTGAAGGACCTGTTGAGGAGCAATCTCTATCTCTTTTCTTTATGAACCTTGTGGTCTTTCTTCCATCACCTGACATTTTACCAGACAAGGAGAAATAACCTTTAGAAACAGGAACTTCAGCCCTATGAGTAGCTGATGACTGCTCAGAGGTTTCCGCCCTGAGCATCCTGGAGCCTGAGAAGGAACACAGATTTCTCCAAAAGAAATGTCTTTATTAAGCAAGACTCCCTAGCTCTCTGGGTTCTCTTTGAAAAGGATCTACAGATGGCACATCTCTCTGTAATGTGCCCCTTACCAGACACAATATTCATCTGGTGTGCCCATCAATTAGGGGCATGACAGCCTTGCACAAAGGGCAGCTTTTGAAGGCTGGATTGTTCAGTCATAGTGTATGTCTACACTGCAGTCCGAGGGGTGACTGCAGCACACATAGGCATACCCTTAAATCTAGGCCGCTAAAAATAACAGTGGAGATGTGGCAACATGAGCTGTACAAGCCCACTGGGGACCATACTTGGATTGCTAGCTCATGCTGCAGCCCATGTCGCCATACCTTCACTGCTATTTTTAGCTGTGCTAGCAAGAGTAAAACTAGTATGGGCATGCCACCCCTGCTGCAATAACACCTCTCGGTGCAGTGTAGCCAGACCCAGAGAGAGTGATCCCCCTACCCTCCCAGGCAAGCAGAAACCAGTTTCCTTACAAAAAGGGAAGAAAAGAAATGAGATCAAATACTAACACTAAAGCTAATCATTAACTATTTACATAGTTCACAGTGGAGCAAAGAGACTTGGACACTAAGTTCCAATTCATAGCCAAAGGAGGTAAGAAGGAAGCAAGAGGCAGCTGGGGCTGTCCTACTCTTTACATCCTCCATCAGAAGCACGACCTCAACAGACACTGCTGCCCAAGAGAATCCAGACTTGAGTACTGGGCACATGTGCACCAAGAGTGGAATATATATGGACAATGCATCTTGAAGAAAAATTTTCTGTCTCTACCAGAGCAGAGTGAATAATTCACAAAGAATAATAGATTAAACAAATTTAGACTCTTTCAGCTCATAAAATATCTACCAGGCTATAGCAATGGCCTTGAATTTATTAGTTACTCAAATATCTTTTTTTAATTTTCTACTTTATGGATTGATCATCAATACCCAAAATTCAAGGTTAGTTTTGATAGGTCAAATAAGTCACTTGAAACTGTATTTGTTCTCTGACTGTGACAGTACTCCAACACGGATATTTGTATATGTGATTGTGAATTCTGCTTTCAGTGCACTTTTTTTTAAACCACTAAAGCTTGAATGAAGTCCTAATGAATATTCACAGTAAATTTTGTCATTATTTTACCCAGCACTGCGTTCTAGATTCTATAAATACGGAAGCAATATCTCAATCATTCATCACTCTGAGGCAAAACGTTGACACAGATGTACAAGTAATAACTAAAAGGGACATTACAAGGAGAAGTAAGTGCCCACAGGTATATCACCCCAACTGTTCATCAATTCTAAACGTACAGATCGCTTTTTATGCCTTGAAACACAAAATACTCCAAGGCAATGTCCATCCATATGGGTTAGAAAACAAATCAGCACCTGTCTAGCTCTAGGAAAAGTGCCCATTTCAAAGAACAGATTGAGGATAAATTGGAAATCATGTCCCCACCCAATATGCTTATAAATACTGCAACAAGTGGAGGCTTTTTGGGTATCCCTGTGGAGAACTGGGACACATTTGCATTGTTTTTTATAGACATCATATGACCCTCAGTTTATCTGGGTGACACTATCCTGCCTGAAGGCCAGGAGTTAAATCAAAGGCAGTTGTAAAGGGGAAAACAACCAGGAAGCAAAACAATGGCAAAGAGACGGCTCTGAAGCACGGAATCTATCAATTGCAGAATACCCCTTGTCTGGCTCCCTCCTGGCTGGAATGGGTTGCTCTTCCCAAGGCGAAAAGATTGGAACCCTAGGGAGTCCTAAATCTCAGAGACCCTAGAAAAGGGATGGGAGAAGGGGATTGCTGAGCCAAGAGAGGTTGCTCTTCAAGATATGTCAGGGAAAGCTGACAGACTGATTGAGGCACAGAGACGGGGAACATGCTGCAACAGGGCAGTGTGCTTCTCCCTGCTATTCGACATTGGTGAGGCCTCATCTGGAGTACTGTGTCCAGTTTTGGGCCCCACACTTCAAGAAGGATGTGGATAAATTGGAGAGAGTCCAGCGAAGGGCAACAAAAATGATTAGGGGTCTGGAACACATGAGTTATGAGGAGAGGCTGAGGGAGCTGGGATTGTTTAGCCTGCAGAAGAGAAGAATGAGGGGGGATTTGATAGCTGCTTTCAACTACCTGAAAGGGGGTTCCAAAGAGGATGGCTCTAGACTGTTCTCAATGGTATCAGATGACAGAACGAGGAGTAATGGTCTCAAGCTGCAGTGGGGGAGGTTTAGATTGGATATTAGGAAAAACTTTTTCACTAAGAGGGTGGTGAAACACTGGAATGCGTTACCTAGGGAGGTGGTAGAATCTCGTTCCTTAGAGGTTTTTAAGGTCAGGCTTGACAAAGCCCTGGCTGGGATGATTTAACTGGGAATTGGTCCTGCTTTGAGCAGGGGGTTGGACTAGATGACCTTCTGGGGTCCCTTCCAACCCTTATATTCTATGATTCTATGATTCTATGCTACAGAGGGAATTAGCTGGGCTGAGAGGTACCTACACAAGCAGCCAAGGAAAGTTTAAGGCATAAGTGTAGGCCTTTTATTGTTTTACTCTCTGCTCTACATGCTTTGTACCTTTGAGGAATGAATAAATAATACTTTGTTTTGCAGACGCTGTTTCTGTGTCACTGGAAACATATGCTGTGACAGGCTCCCCAAGTGAATCTCTCACATGTCAAAACCAAATTGGGCCTGTGTCATTAACATGGTTAGAAACCAAGGGGCTGCAGCCCACAAAGCCAATCTAAGAGTGGTTGGGCTGCATGATTCCACCCAGAGTGAGGTGCAGAAAGCCAGGCTTACCATGTAAGGTGGGCACTCGAGAGAGACAGAATGGGGTCTAAGGCACAGTTCGCCCAGTAGCCATGACAATGCCAATCATTAAAATGTACAATACCACTTGCACCTCTGTAATTTTAAACAGTGGGTACACACGTGACCTTCTCCAGTAAAAATTGCACAGAACAAAAAGCAAAACAGAATTGATTCTGCCCACTCCAGATACTGCCAAAATTGTTGACTCCTAATACCACACAGAATGCTGGGGGGGGATCTACTTACCAGGCACAGCACCAAGATGTCGCAGGATGGATCCTGTATTATTAGGAAGGACTGTAAGGTTCCACCCATGCCTGTTGAATGAAGTGATACACACATTATTATGCGTCCGCATTAAAAACAAACTGGTCTTAAAGTTGCTCCTCATCTCAAACATTTGTAGTCATTGTTTTGACCTATAGTCTTATATGGATTCTGTGCTGAATAGAATAACTGTAGCATAAGAGGCAAAATACCATAAAAATCCAGATTATTTATCTAACTTTACCTTGAGAATGGTTCAGATTTTCCAACAGGAAAGCCGCTCCCATGTGTGTTGGTATCCACTTTCCCACAGTGCACTGCTACATGGCAATCCTTCTGTTCCACTAACCTCCAGTACTCTTGCTATAGCAGAAGAAGGCAGTAGTAAATTTTTAGTCCAACGGACAGTGAGAAAATTCCTTTAAATGTTCACCAATCAACAGAAGGTTACAGTCCACTGATACACTCAGTGTTGCTCCAACAAAACATTTCCTCTTAGAGACAGATATACAGAACTTTAAAAATAACAATGAATTAAGACTTAACATCCCTTTTGACGACTGTTTATTTCCATTTTACAGATGGGGAAAACTGAGACACAGAGCGGTTAAGTGACTTGTGCAAACTCACACAGGAAGACTTTCGCAGAGACAAGAACAGAACTCCAATCCCCTGACTCCCATGCTGGTGCTTCAACCACAAAACCAACCAACCCTCCTGCCTGTCTTTAACTTGTCAGTGCCTTTATTGAAGATATTAAGTAATGTCAAAAGGAAGAGCAGAGACAACATCTTCATTCTCTTCCTGCATCAGACACCTTCAAGCAGTCTACTGTGCCACTTTGTGATTTAACTTTGCAGAGCCATCCCTAAATCCTCCATAGGGAAAGATTTCCCATCCCTAAGTGCTCTCTTGCCCCTCACCTCTATTTCAGCTACCGAAGGCTCCTTGCTGAAGCACATGTTCATGATGTTTCTTGCCGTCCGGTAAAAGGTTGTTAAAGAAACAGACCTACCCTGTGAATCAAGAGAGCACGATTAAAAGTGAAAATAAAAATGGTACCTTCGCCCCCCACCTCCAGTGTTATTTACTGTGCAAACCTTACCTTCCTCAGCCCAAGACCAGGAGAGGGGAAGGGACAGAATGTTCTCTAAGAATAGGTACAACAGAGTCCATTGATCTAATATACATTTCTTCCTGAAGCAAGTATCTCAAATGCCATTAAAAGCAGTAGGGAACTCCAGCTTTTATCATGGCGAGCAGCAGCTGATACAGCAAGTGAGCCTATGCAGATGTCATTTTAAAACTTCCACCAAGTCAGTTTCCATTTTTAAGGTCTCTCTTTTTAGGAAAAGTGTTTTAACCTCATTTAACCTATTTTTCTGTGCAAACAGATGCTGTTCATGATAGAACATGCACTACATGGAGAACAGGAGGACACAAAAAGGATGACTCGGAGCTAAGTTATACTTTATATTCAGTAATTGCATGTACAACAACAACAACAAGGCAGCAAGGCATGGTTCAATAACAATATTATGAAGACCAGGGATTGGTATGGAGGGGCAGGGGGTTTACAAAAGCAAAATAATAAAATGTGTGTTGCTTCCTTCCTCCACTACTTTGTCTGCATGATGTCCTTTAGATTGTAAGCTGCTTGGGACAAGGAACTGTCTTATTTTTGTTCTATACACACTTAGCAAACTTCTGAATATTCTTTTACATGTATATTATTCTTATATATTAGATGCTCACACACACATATAATAATAAACACATTTTCAATCTAAGAGAGATCCATAGGAAGACATAGCACCAGCCCTTTGTATATCTGCAACCAGGTTGCCAAAGTAAAATACGGTGGTCAAGTTCTCAGTGTATGATCCAAAGTTTGAAATTTGGAAATGTGTAAAATAAGCCTTAAAAGTGTTTTTATGTTAGTATTATCTGAGACCAAGTTAAGGCTTACAAGAAAAGAGACCGTGTGGAGACAGGAAACATGCCCCCCCTTTAAGGCTTGGGGACATTGGAACCTGCCTATACCCTCTGGTGAAAATGCAGCCTCTATTTAGGTTTCAAGTTCTTCCATCACTCTAAACTAAGAAAATAACCTTGAAAGCTAAGGGATGTGAAGGATGACAGCACCCTGCCACCAAACCTTGCAATATTTTGGTCTAGCCACTGTGATATGTACCGATTGTACTAGGCCAGGCTATGTACAAGAGAAATGTTAAAAAGGAAGTTAAAAAGGAATTCCTGCTTTACAAACATGAAGTCTATCCCTTGTCCCCATATCTACCTCTCTCTTTCCTCTGACACCAAATTACCTTCCCTCACATTTGCCAACCCTCTTCCTCTCAAAAAATAAAGGAAAACCTAAGAACCAACCCCACACCCCCTCCGGATCTAAACTTCTGGTAAATGAACATTTAATTAGTTGGATTATTTTGTTTTTATTTTTTTAAATGGTGAAACATGATCTGCTAAATTGCTAAAACTGTATTTCTGCTTACTTTGAGCAAGAACTCTACCCAAGAGTAAACCAGGGACAATTACACAGCAGTTTGTTGTTGTTTTCTTTTTCCTATAAGAGACTAAGTCTGTTGCTAAAACATCAATGGTCCTAACATTTTGTTTTTGTTTGGTTTTAAACTGAATGCAGGGCAATTAGCTGCTACAAGAAGTCTGTAAAATGCCCAGGGCCCCAGACTCTCATAAACCTCTAAGTTGGATGGTCTGTGATACAATGAGCAATTTCCTTCATCTTTTACTGCCCTTGTGAATCTTTTATTGAGGCAGGCTTTGAAAACAAATCCTCAAATCGCTCTGCTCCTACAGTCTTCAAACTTGTACATATACTTCCCTGATGACAAGCTGCTAACGAATGCTCTATAGAAGCTTTTTAGGTTTAAGATGGTTTGCCTGCCACTTTGTCATACAAAAGAGAATAGGATTCAGGACTGATCCTCCAAAATTAACTATGTCCTCCAAATTCTGAGATGGGCGGCTGCCCTATCATAGGGAAGAAACCTACATACAATAGCGGACAGAATTATTAAAAAGATTGAAGTTCTTGATTTTCTCAATCAAAAAATTTCATATCCTCCACCTCGGCCCAAAAGTCACAAAATATATAAAGGCTGATGAGCTTTCTACATGAAAAATATGACAATATTTTCTTGAGGATCATTAAGAGAAAATATTTTAAGGCTTTGCACTCTAAAATGGAGCTGGCTGAAAATAGACTCACAATACAAAATTATTACTGAAGTGCAAAACACCTTTTGAGGCCCCTGAGAAGATCTGAACAGTTGATACTAAGGATCCTCTAGGAACTTAGATGTATTAAGCAAAATCTTTGAAGCAGTAAAGAGCCTAAACAGAATAGCTGAATGGCAAAATTATATTGTGATACTTCATTCTACCTACATTACTATTAAGGAGAGAAAAGAGAAAGGTAAGAGTCCTGAAAATGAACTCAGGTCAGGAGTGCCCAGACTACGGCTAGATGAAATTTTTCAGACATTTTTTTTTTTGCTGAAAAACCCAAATTCAGGTCAACCAAACATTTCATGAGTTTGTGCCATTTTTAGTTAATTGTTTTAGTTTAAACTAATTGTTTTGTCATTATCCAAACAAAACATCCAAACCCAGATTTTTTTCCTGCTAGACTCGCCAGGGGAGTTAGGCATGCGAAGGAAGAGGTAGTGGTGGTGTGGGAAACCCAAGTTTGATCCCAGCTCTAGAGCAGGGACTGGAACCCAGTCTCTCCCTCCCAGGTGAGTGCCCTAACCACCAGACTGTTGGCTATTCTGGGATGGGGGTATCAATATCTCCTGCTGAAGCAGTTTCACTTTGTATAAATAATTAGTCATTAGAGCAGGGACTCAAACCCTGGGTTCTCCCACCTCTCAAGTCACCAGGCAACAAAGTCACACCCTCTCTCTCTCTGGCCCAATGACTATTCAAGTATTTTATCAAAATATTTTAGTACTTCTGTATATGGCATTGGTGAGAACTGTACTGGAAAACTGGTGGTCTCTTCCTAAAAATATGCCCCAATACAACCACAAGATATTAGACTTGATGCAGGAATTACCGGGTGAAATTCTATGACCTGTGTAATGTAGGCAACGACCAATGAACACAGTGGTCCTTTCCAGCCCTAATCTATTCATTTACAAAAACCTTTCTTAAAGTTGAGCTAAGGTTGCTGTCACACAATAGGACCTTCCTATCCCTATACCCTTCTGGAACATAAGGCTTCAAAACTCAAATATTAGGAAATATTCACTTAAGGTCTTCTCACATATCCCCAAAAGAATGTTAGTGTGATAAGAAATGCCACCCCCCTTCCCCCCCCAGAAAACACACTTATGCAAGCCAGGGGATCTGCAGTTAAAGTGCTGTTTCATTCATAATGAAACCACACAACCTTAGCTCTAATCCATAAATAGTACAGCTCAGCTAAGGAATCTGCACACTGTGGCTCAGAGCCACACTTGACTCACAGCAGGGCAGCTGTTCATTCTGCAGAGTCAAGAACAAAATATAATCTTAAAAACAAAAATGAGAGTTAACTTTTAGAGCTTGTTCTCGATGCTAGACACCAGTTCTCACTGCATGTTTTTTCCCCTACCTCTGTACAGAAAGATACAAGACGTGTTGTGATTTTAGTAACAGAGCCAGAGTTTAAGGCTAGGAGGTCATATTTTGGGGGGCTGTGTCTCTGGAACCCCTTGAGCAAACATTCTCAAATGTGTATCATATATTCTACCCTGGCCCATACCAATTTTCAAACAGGTTTGAGTCTGACTGTGTGTGTGGTTTTAAGGAGGATTGCAAGTTTGGCTGTAAGCAGAAAACACGTTGCAATGTTCTCTATAGTACCACTCTGTAATTCAAGACTTCATGGTCTGGTTTGGTTCTTGTATCTTGACTGCTTTTGGTAGATGGGGGTAGCATGAATCATGTCAGCCCTGAAGTTCACTAATATTTAATCATTTACGTGCTAAATCACATGTACATTTTAAAAGTACATTTATTAAACCTATAATTGTTCATGGCACAGTGCTGGGGGAAGGACTTAATGCCTTCTCAAGCTCCCTTCCAGTCCTACATTTCTATGATTCTATACTGGGTCTGACATTGCGAAGTCCTGAGAGCCTTCCAACGTTCTGAAAGCATGTCAATGAGAGTTTAAGAGCGTTTAGCACTTTGCACAAGGCAATCAGAACTTAGCAGGTTCAGGCTTATTATTACAGTGTTCAGGTAATGGCTGATTAAGATATTTCTCTGCACAGACTCACTCTTTTTGTGTATGATCTCTCATCTCCCTCTAAAATGTAACTTGGGGACTTTATACTGGCAAGCAGTGGGGTGGTGTTTTGTATGTGAAGATCAGTATGTTTCATTTATTATTAAATTCAAGATATTAAGTACAAAAAAGGCCTTTTAACTATGCACAGGGAATATCATTAATGTAGCTGCCATTAGATAAGGCTTGTATCTTTTAATGTGATAGAAACATCATTAACAGTTTGTTTTAACACGGGAGTGACAAGGGAGCCCCAGAATAGAACGCTCTTCATCTGACAAATTCTAATGCATTGCTGTGCAGAAGAAATGTGAATGAACTTTCTTAAATGCAATTCATGAGCTTAGTCAGTCTCTAAATAGCTTAACAAAAACTACTTTGGACAGTAACACTGGGAATGCTATCTGTTTTCATTTCATAGTGACAGGAGAGAGACTGGGGAGGGAGGAGTGGTATAGCAGCTTACTGGCCGCAGACAGTAAGTACTGTATATCTCACTCTCAGCACTGCTAAATAATTCAATCGAACTAAAAAGTACACTGCAAGTTGTGATGCCAATTCTTGCTCAATAGTGGAAGGTTGCCAATAAAATACAATGAAAGAGACAACAATC